AAGGTGGCGCATCGTAGGGTTTCTCCCCGATCGCACAACACCGATCATAGCCTTGTTATCGTCATAGAACACAAAGTTCGGTGACTTCTTGAGAACCCGCTGCAACAACTTAAGAGCAGGCATACCCATGGCTCTCATGGCAACATCGGCCGCAACAATTTCGGCCTCAGGGGTTGAATGACTCACACAACCCGTCTTTTCGAGCTGCCAGACAACGGAAACCGAGTATTGGGCCCGTGTATATTCAAGTGTCCACCAGAGGTGGAACGCAAAGATTCAACACATCCTGCAAAATCTGCGTCAGCATACAAGGCAATGTTTCGTACGATGTACGTAGCACATCAAATGGTGCAAACCCCGATCATCGGAGTCAGTCCACTTGTGCACATTTCGTGCCAAGCGATTCACTTGCCGCAACAAATCGAAGCGAGCAATCCGCGCGCCGTATAGCAACTTCATCAGTACGCTAGCGGCATGCGGAGCAAGGTGTCCACGCACGGGCTCCTTCATGGCCAATTCAGGAGTCCCTCCCCGCTGGTCCGGCACTGAGGCAGAACCGTCGGTGGGCACAAGATTGTTACACCAATTGCACACGACTGACGGGCCCTCTTTTGCAGGCTTCCGTGAGACGTGATTCTTTGATTCCTCGTGTAATTCAGGAGTGACAACCTTATTCAACTTTACGTCGCCCGCCACCTCGAGATAGCGGTCAACACAGGAACGTAGGAACTGTTCCATGTGGTGCCCGTTCCCGAGGGTGACGTTTCCCTTGCTTTGATTACAACCAAGGTACATGTCAAGTCCAGTCTCGGGCTCGATCTTTACACGCGTACGCAGCATGCTCCATCCCTGGGCAAGGTTCTTTGTGGGCCCTGCCGTTTTGAAGTCATCGACATACACAGCCAGAACAAGTTGGAGCTTTTCATGAATGTGCACTGACGGCCACTCCTCGCCGATGGGTTCAAAGCCAACGGCACGCACTGATTCATCACAGTGCTGCTCCCAAAATGTTCCTGCATCAGGATGTCCGTACAGTGCCTTCCTCAGTGGAACAACTGGCCTCCTGTACTTACCCCAATTGTACTCACTCGGCACAGCCTCAGGTGGCAATTCTATCCAACATGGCGTGCCTCTCAGTGTGCCTGAATGTACGCCTGCACAGCGTCGGCCATCTGCACATCCCAACCATCATGACAACCCAAAAAATCCGCCCAACGCGTGGCCTCAAATGAAGCAGGAGAGTTCCCCAAGTCTTGAAACATCGCAGCTTCAAAGCTTTGATTCTTCACTTGGTTCCCCAGCAACACGTCTCTACCCTTGAACTTCCTCTTGGGATCGCCAACAGGCAACTGTGAGTGCTTTTCAACGCAAATACCATGTGCGCGAGCCATGTGTATCTCTTCTCCTTTCGCTTTTGCCTCCTTGGCCACAGCGTCATATTCCCGCACTGCACCAAGGTCGAAGACGCCCTGGTCGATTAATCCCGACCATTCTTTCTTCATTGATGCCAGAGCGTCAGGGTTGGTCAACATTTCTTTTCGGCCAACCGGCCTGGACACCAGTGCATCGAAGAATCGAACAACTTTCTCGGCCTTCTCTCTGTGCTGTATTAGCTCAGAGGTCACACACGGCATCGATGGGTATTTCTTAGCTTTGCCTTCTTCTCCTACTGCAGGTAGCGCAAGTGGCACTTTTCCCGAAACCACCTCAGCAGACTCCTCCCATTCATACCAGGTAAAATCCGCCGGCGTGTCATCCGCAAGATCCGTCCCCGATATCAGTTCAGCTGCGTCTCTCTGACGCTCAATGACTGATGCAACTGCCTTCGTCCAATTTGGAATCGGCCTCGACCGCTCCTCAGACTTGAACTTCCAGGCATATATTACAGCCAGACACGCAAATTCTTTCTCAAGCTGAACACTCTGTCTCAAGACATCTTGGGATTGCTTGGAATCCATGAGGACAACCACTCCGTCAACAGGATTTACGACTATCCTGACCCAATCAAGCTCAGCCAAATGTTTCCCATCCTGTGGGTTCTTGATCTTTGACACGTTCTTTCGCAATCCCCAATTGTACTGCCATTCAACTCCACCCCAGCGGTTCCGAAGCATGGCCCGAATTCTCTTACCACCAGGCATCTGCTACATCGATCATTGGATCACCGAAAGACGGAAAGAGAATCGAACCCGGCACTAGTGACGAATTAGGGTTCCCTAATCGAATTTTTTCGGGGTCCTCCCTCAGCGCGTTTCACTACTGCTCGTTCACGATGTCCATCTTTACTGCTCAAGGCCTCCTGTATCTCCAGCTTCTTGAGTGCCCTGAGTTCCTCATTATCCGCATCGAGCTGACGAACGAAGCTCTCTTCTCGTTTGAGAGTTGCCTCCCGATCCTTCAGTTGTCCCTGAAGCTTGCGCATCTCCTCGAGGTACTCATCATACGCTCCTTTAGCTGTTGACTTCCAGAACTCGGCTTCTTTCGACTTTTCGTCCATCGTGCACCGTTCTTCTTGTGTTGCTTCTCTGACCTGGGCCAATTCCAAGATTGCATCCTGACGATGACCACTCTCGATAGCAATCATCTGGTCCTTCTTCGACACGTCGGACTCATACTGTCTGACGATCTCTTCCTTCGCGCGAAGCAAGCATTCTGCTCTCTTCGATTCTTGCTCTGCGAATGTCGTTACGTCATTCAGTCTTGTCATCAGCTGCTCCCTGGTGTCTTCCATCGAGTACATCTCGGGGCGTTTGACAAGCGCATGCTCCAACTGTGATTTCAGACTTTGAACCATCTCCTCCTCGTTGAACTTCTCAATAGATGTAGACGACTCAATCCCTCTGACCTGTTGTTGATAAACGGAAATCTGTTGTGAAGCTTCACGGTGAATCTGAGTTGCATGTATAGCTGATTCCTGTGCGGCTGCCTTCTCGCTTGCCATATAGGATTTCATCACTGCAATCTCCCGCTTTTGCTCCATAATAGTTCCCTCAGCTTGTCGCATTTGTTGTATCATCGCATTCGACTCCATGTCCTTCTTTTCCCCGTACTGATATGCATTCACTTCTGCCTCGCGCATCTGTTGCGCTTCTGCCTCAAACTTGCGCCAGGCCTCCGCCATGTGGTGTTGGCGATGACTCACAAGATGTCCCGATTGCTTACTGGCAATCTCACATCGTCTCTCCAGCTCCTGAATCCGGATGGTGCTTCCATGGTCTTCTTGATGAAGGTTTGCCATTGCCGCCGACATTTCATCAAGCGTCTTCTGATACTCCCCGATCTCCATCTCCATCTTGTTCTTTTCTTTTATCGCGGCGCGAAACTCGGCACTCGTGGGCGATTTGGATCTCCCACTTTTCGATGTCGACCTCACGCCCTTCTGTGACGCCCGCGGGGTCGCTGGTGAAGATGATGATCTTCTCGGTGGAGACTCTCTTTGCTTCGACTCCTGATGAATAGCGATCTGCTTCCATGATCTAGTGGGTGTGGATATGTCGCTGAATAGTGCGGATCCACCGCTCCCAGGTTCATCCTGCGAATCTGCGACCATATCCATTACCGCAGGATCAATCCATTGGATCCCTCCGAGCTGTCGTTCCCAAAAGTTGCAGTACTTGGGCTCGCTGAAGATGCCATTGTACCGTGTATGTTATTGTTCTTCTGCAGTTCCTGTACCCGCAATAAACCAGCTGTCTCTCCGTCCAGTGTAGAGCTTGCGATACGGCTGATAACCTGTCAAGAGATGGCAAGATGACGTCCCGTGGGACGCTGTCCACCGAACCCTCCAGCTGTGTATACTCAACCACGTAGAAAGGTGTATACGGTCAAACCGTTATAGCCAAACCAGTGCAAATTGTTGCAAGGGGGTAAAGACCAATAACCACGGTTGTACTCTCTGCAGCAGCAGCGCAAGTGAAGCCGTTTTCACTCTCTTAGATCGATCACAGACGAACGTAGTTCATGCAAGACCTTGAGCCCTACTTGTGACTTGAGCCAAAGTGGCGTCCAATGGAACATCATAACCAACAAGAACATGGACCTCAGAACAGCTTCCCAATTTAGGCACGGGGCCAGGAGGGCTTTAACACTGCCATCGGGGCAGATCCTGCATCTTCGCCGGGAATTCGCCAAATAGCTCAGTGAAAGCTGATTTCTGTCCACCTGACTGACTCTGTCCCTCCACCTGTTGATTCACAAGCAGCTCTTCCTGATCCAGGAAAACCAAACAAGCGCAATCTGGTGTTGCATTGAAGGCTGCAGCCGTCACCAACAGCCACTGCTCGAAGACGCCCTGCTTCTGTTGACAAAATGAGCCAAGCCAAACTTCGCGCATATCAATTGCACGTCGTACCGATGTACGTTTGAGGGCCTCCAGCACTGCAATGGAGGCCATGCCCCTAAAACTCACCACCCGCCCACTCACTTCGATGCTGTACCCGCACAGCAACTGTGACAGGTGCCACACGACAATTGCAGAAGCAATCCTACTGGGAGCTTCCTGCAACGCTGACTTTGGAGTCTCTCGCGCATCAACCACTAAAAGCCGCCCACTTTCTGAGAAGTTCGGGACCTTCAAAGCCAGGTGTCGGACAAGCAATGTCTTGCCGGTGCCCCTTGGGCTCCACAAGGTCAAGACCTTTGGCTTGTTGGTTCCGCCCTTTTGGATGTCCTCTATTTGCTCCACAAGACTCCGCAGGGCAACGCGGTGGGGCGGCTGACGAGGCGCGGCAGGCCCGCTGCGGCGAGGCAGCTGGACGACGGCAGCCCAGAAGCGATTCGGGCCGCTGAGCAGACTTGACGGAAGCAACATGCCTTAGCTTGTGGAGAGAAGTTTTAGCCCAAACACGACTTTGCGAATCTCGACCTCAGAGCGATCCCTGGACCCCGCCCAAAACGGCCATTCAGTTTGTGGATGCAAGCCTGACACCCATGGAACATGTGAAGCCTCTTGTGACCTTACGTCCGCCCTGCTCCCACCTGCTAGCGCGATTTTTGTACACTCACAAAAGCTTCAGCACGTCCAGCTGCGCAATGATAGTCTCGCAACTCATGAGAGAGTATTTCTTCTCCTCCTGACGTCTGGCCCATGTCTTGTTTGTAAAGGACTGCCAGCCTTCAGACTCACTGCAAATCTGCAGCAACACATTTTGCATGTCCTCAAAGTTGTCCTTCTTCGCCTTGTCCTGCAACTTCAGGCCGCCTGCATCCTTTTTCTGTCCACAACGACAATGCGCAGCAATGAACTCGAGCTTACCAGTTGCCTTGCATCTCACGGGGATCAAAAGGTCGTGGTGAGCCGTTGCAAAATTCCGGTTGGACTTGATGGCCTTCCCAACGTCACTCATGACAGTTGCTTCATTGCCTTGGCCGCTTGGATATTCCACACCATCACTCCAGCAAACTTCGAAAGGCTCCAAAACAGCTCGCAAATGTGGATCCTCCGTAGGGTAGATCTTCAAAAAAGGGACCCAGGTGACTTCAGCACTCAGGTTTCTTGCTATGCAGTGAAGGCGGAACCGCGCTGCCAGGGAATTTGCAACCAGCTCTTCCCACTTCTCCCCCCTTTCAGTGGCACCCCTTGTTGGGCTGTTGAGCAACTGCAAGGAATCTGGCAGGAGCCCCTCCAGGTCAATGTTCAGCTCTTTCAAATCGTTTCGGATGGCGTCTTTGATATTGGTATCCTCACACCACCACAGCCGTGGAACCAGTACGGACTTGTTGTTTGGAAATGCTGCTCCGGCCCTGAAGATGTCTGACCACCTCGCTGAGGTTCCGGGCACAAGCTGGTGGCCTTCTGCAGGCCATCGAACCGCCGAGCAAAGAACCAACGCCAAAGCCACTTCTGGCTGACGGAAGTAGGGGGCTGCATCCGCATACGAGCTTCTGAACTTCTGCGACATGGCATTGAGTGCAACCTGAGCAGTTGATGCCAACTCACCCCAGGTCTGGAAAGCCGCCTCCAGAAGCCGGGGTACCCCAGCCGAGAAGAGGTGAATGTTGTTGAATTCCTTCTTCTTGTATTGCAAGCCTCCCCACTCTGCCATGGCCCGTCTGGCGGCTTGCAGTGACAACGGCGGTAGAGCCGGTACTTCCTGGACCTCAAGCGAGGTGTACTCCTCCGATGGCCTATCGGTCAAGATATTCACCGTGCCTGCCGAAAACATGCCCATCTTCTGCGGGAATTCGCCAAATATTTCGGTGAAAGCTGATTTCTGTCCACCATGGTGGCTCAGTCCCTCGACCTGTCTGTTCACAAGCAGCTCTGCCTGATCGAGGAACACCAAGCAAGCGCAGTCTGGTGTCGCATTCAAGGCTGCAGACGTCACCGAAAGCCACTGCTCAAAAACAGCTTCCTTGGTTTTGCAACACAAGCGAACCCAAGCCTCAAAGCTGTCGACAGCTGGCGGTGATTGGCTGAGCCTCGATGATTCCAATGTGATGACCAAATCGCTGAACGTCCTCCTCTGGAAACCAATCGGTGGCCCTTGGCTCACCTCCACAGAGTAGCCATCGAAGATGCGGCAAAGGTGCCACACAATGATCGCAGAAGCCAGCAAATCAGGATCTTTGCGCAACAGTGCTGATGGAATCCTTACCGCATCAAAAACCAAGAGCCGCCCACATCCTCGGCTTTCTGCGAAGTTCGGGACATTCAAAGCCAGGTGTCGGATAAGCGATGTCTTGCCGGTGCCCCTTGGGCTCCACAAGGCCAAGACCGTCGGCTTGTTGGTCCCGTTCCTTTGGATCTTTTCTAGTTGCTTCACAACACTCTCAACAACCGCCTCCCTTTCCAGAAACGGCCTCTCATCCTTGTTGTTGATTCGGCAGTTCAAAAAGCGGTCTTCGAAGTCCAAGAGATCTGTGGCGCTAAAACGAGGGAGCTCAACCTGCGCGGGAGGTGCATGAGGGAATGCTGGGAAGGACAAGCAATCACAACAAACCAAACACGCATCGGCAATTGGTGAGAAAATCGATCGCTTGCAGGTTCCTTCCCACTGGGGTCCATGTTTTGGCAAAACGCTAACCATTCACAACAGATCACAAAGAAGCATGGGTACTTAGTGCGAAAGCCGAGCACTAGGAAAGCAAGGAACACAAGGGTACCAAAACCAAATTTTCCAGCAGGAACACTGCCCATGAGAGTGGCGTCAAATATGTTCAGGTTCTGCGGATGTGATCAGGGCAGCCCCACTGAAAGCATTTCCGCGGGGGAAATCAAAACCGCACAAAACGTCAAACGGCACGTCTCAACGTCAGCCGGCAGCAGAAGGACAGTGTGCACACTTTAGCAATCTCCTCCATGCTCGTGCTGTCGGAAAAAAAATTAACCTTCGGATTGCATTGTGTCTGCAGCAGCAACGACCATGGCAGAAGGGTAGGTCTTGCTCTTCAAAAGGCAGGCGACTGGAACAGCAGGCTCTTCAATATTTGCGGGTTCCCCCTCGACTGTTTGATAGTTTTGCGCCAAACACTCACACCAAATCAGGCAGATATGAACAGGTACGCAGAAAAATGAACAACAGAACGGGGATGGAATGGCAGCAAAACGGGCAAAACATCGAGCAAGAACACTGCCAGTGGATGCAAAGCCGGGAATGGTTGAGCTCACTGCATCAAAGAGAACATTCATAGAATGCACTTGTGCCTGCAGCAGCAAGGACCCCCATGGGTGCAAAGACATCAGAGTTTGCCCTCCCTCTCCCCGGCAGACGGGCAGGTCTTGCTCTTTCAAAAGCAGGCTGGGGGCAAGCACAAAATCACTCACAACGATCAACGGCACGTCTCAATCAATGTCGACCAGCAGGAATGACCGACCTCCAACAAGGAAAGGCAACCATCCGGTCATGGGGGGTCCCTACCGAGCCTGCCAACGACAGGAAGCGCCGCAATCTGCACAAATGTAATCTTGGGATTTCCTGGTTCTGTGGATGTTGATCAGGGCAGGCCACGCGGAACGCCATCCTGCATCAGCTCTTCCAGTGTCAGCTGCAGTAGGGCCGCTCCGATCACCTTCTGCTTCAGCAGAATGGGGGTGACTTCGGTGATGTCGTCTGCTTCAAACCCAGCATCCAGCAGTACGGCTTCGACCCAGTTCGACAGAAGCCCTCCACCTCCTCGCGGCTCTTGGCGAGCCAGTCCTGCCAGCGCCCACCAACAACCGAGCCTGGCGCGCGCGAGCCCCCCGGCCTCCGCGTCGCTGTCCTGGCGCGATTGCGACCGGCCAAATGTACAACTGGTGATTGGAGCGTCCTGCGGGCTGGCGCGCAAAGCAACTCCGCCACGCCCAGGGTGCCAGCGTGTCACCTCAAGAGCTGAAAATCCAAGCAGAAAAACATCACAGCGACACCGGGATCTGGACCTGTGGCCCGCAAGAATCCTGGCGGCACCACACAAAACAGCCAAGATGCCAGGAATCTAGTGTCCTTCCAGCCCGGGCGACTCGGTGAAATCCGCCCGTGAGGGATGGTGAAGAGATGTACCTGGGGCCACAACCAGCAAACCAAAGCACTGGAACAATGCTGCCGAGGTCTTGGCCGTGTGCAAGAAAAGCCACGAGATTGCAGTCAGGAGAATGCGGGAGCGAACACCTGACGACAACGAGTCCTAACAAGCACGAGTTGAAGCTGACCAGCCTCGGCTCCTCCTGCCCTTCGTCGTCTCCACGCCCATGGCTGCGCAGTGTTTCCCTCGTGACTAGTTTGCGATACGATGTGGATTTAAAAGCGCGACTTTGCGCTGTGTGTGTGGACCGTCGGCAGCGCTGCTTCTGAGCGCTTCTTTGGGCCAGGCTACAAGCAAAAATGTTTTCACACATTTCGCATGGCGGGCGCTGATCCGTCAAATCCGAAACCACCGCAAGCGCAATGTTTCCCAGCTCCTCTGCCCCCTGGATGCATGGGGCTCGTCACTCGCCGGCCACGCCCCGGGAAGATGTTTGGGCTTCGGCCTGGCAACAGGTTTTTTGGAAGCTCTTCACTCACAAGGTCTTGAAGGAGGCTGACTTCGGCTCCACCACGTCCCGAAAGTCTTCAAGCAAGCCTCACAGGCCTAGGGCCTGCAAGCTTCAATGGCTTGGAGAGAGCAAAAGGCGCCACGATCCCCAGTTGCTTAGGCTCCCTCCACCAGAGTCGCCTGGGTGCCCCAAGTCCCCCAAGTCCCCTACCCTCCCGGATCCACCCCCCGATTCCCGATTCCCTTGAGCTCTCAAAGTCCCTGGGTCCTTCCAGATTTGTTCACACACAGATCCCGGAAGGTCCACTTGGCCAAACCAGCCCTCTGAGGCGCAGCCACGGACTCCGCTTTGTTTTTGGGGCCTCTTGGCCAGCGTCCAGTTCAGCCATGTGAAGGGCAGCCATGTGCTCGCCGGTTCTCAACCCTGCCACCCGCGCACTTGGGGCACGCACTTGGGGCACACTTGGGGCAGGGGATGCACTTGGCGGGAGGATGCATTGGGGGAGGGTGCACTTGGGGTTGGGGGGGGAGGCGTTTGGGGGGGTTTGGGGGTTTGAGGGTGGTTAGGGGAGGTTTGGGGGGGGTTGGGGGGGTTGGGGGTGGTTTTGAGGGGGGGGGGGGGTTGGGTGGGGTTTGGTTTGGGTGGGTGCTCTAGCGCGCGGACGGGAGCGTTACCAGGGCCGGGGAGGCCTACTTTAGCATGCTCGGGCCAGAGTCAAGGACCTTCGAATCAAGGCAGTCGCTGGTCAGGGAGGGCGCGGCCGACTACGTGTGACGGCACCTACCAGCTGACGAACCTAGGGAGGCTCTTCAAGAACAAGTACTCGCAGCACGTAGCACACATCCCAGTGGCCATCAGAGGGGTGCGCGGGCCGGCAAAAACGTGGGCCGGGCTTACGAGCGCAGGGACTGGCTCCCCGCAAATGTCCTGGGTGGAGAGGCCAGCCGGCAGCCCGACAGGCTGTCGGAGCAGCAAATACTGCAAAACGTCAAGCGAGAGACGCTGCGGTTGGTGCGCCGCCGGCAGGGCGCCCATCATGGAACTCAGCGACGAGACGTACTTCTACGACCCGGAGGGGGAGTGGGTGGTGTCCTCGGAGACGACGCAATACCGGAACAGCCGCGTACACGTAGAAACCATCCTGCGGCAGAGGCTGCGAGGCCTGCGCCGCGCGTCGTACCAGCTGCCGTGCTTCAACAGTATCCTGGAATGCGCAGCTGGCTCAACTCCTGGGCGTGCCCTTCGAGGAGGTCTGCGGAGACTTCGACGCCCTTGCAAAGCACGACTGGCGCGCGCACGGCATCTCGCCGGTGGAGATACGAGCCGTCTGCGCGTGGCGCAACGCGCCCATGGTCCTCATCTCCAACACCGGCGAGCCCCTGGACCGCTTCGAGCCCGCGCAACGGGAGACCAAGACCGTGGTGTTCACCTACTACGACGGGCACGCCTTCTTCTACCGGAACGCCCGGCCGGTGCTGGAGCAGATGGGCTGCGCGCTGGTCATGTACCGGCGCGACCCGAAGCAGACCGTGCCGCCGCTGGAGGAGTGGAGCCCGTGGCAGGGCGAGATCAAGCCGGGCCACTTCCACACGACGGACCTACGGGAGACGAGGCGGCAGCTGCTGCTCGCGGAGCACAACCCGCAGGTCACGCTCCGCTCGCTCGCGCAGTTCTCGAGCCTGAAGCTGCGCGCCAAGGGCGGGCAGTGCGTGATCCGTGAGCTGCCCGAGGACTGGGAGCTGCTGCAGGCATGGGCCAAGGGGCTGGGACTGGACTGCCGAGGATCACCCCGAGCCAGCGGCAGAAGAAGCTGCTGCTGGCCGAGCAGGGAGGCAAGCGCGCCGCCTGCGGGCAGCCGATCGGCGCCGGGTGCGCGGAGTTCGACCACATCGTGCCGGTGCGGCAGGCCTTCGCCGGGCAGCAGCAGCGCTTCCAGGCGCTCTGCTTCGAGTGTCACCAGATGAAGACCCAGACCGAAGCACGCAGCCCACGTCGCTGGAGTCACGGTTCACGCGCTCGGTCTACGACGCGTATGTACGCTTTTTCAAGCAGCCTCCGTTAGTGTTCCAGGCGCGGGCCCCGGGCAGCGGACCGCTCGAAGGCGTGGACGTGGCGCGCTGCCGCAGGAACGGGCTGGCCAACGCACCGTTCCCGCTGCCCATCTTCTGCCCGGCCGACAACATCGAGCCGGCGCGGCCCGGGCACCTCGCAGACCTCTCGTTTGCGGACCTGCAAAATCGGGGACGCGATGCCCCCGTGACGCTGCTGCCCTACGTGGGGCCGGGCTGGTACCCGAAGGTCTCGGTGGAACACATGCTGTGCAGCGGCGTGGCGCGGTGGTCCGACGTGCTCCACACGATGGACGCGGCTAGCCACGTCACCGCGGAGTGCCTGGCGCCGGCGCTGGACGTCATGGAGCAGGCCTGGCCCGAGGGCGAAGAACATATGGCAAAGCTCGCAGTGAACTCGATGATCGGGCTCATGGCACACGACAGCAACAAGGCGCACACGCTGCGCAGCAGCAGCAACGAGCTGGACGCGACGGGGCCGACACCAAGCAGGTATTCTACGTCGGCGAAGGCCGGTACGTGTGGGACTTCATCACCACCCGCTCAATCCACAACAACGGGACGCTGCGCCCCATCCACGACTGCGTGCTCGGCTTCGTGGCACGCATCCAACGAGAACTGAGGCTCCCACCAAAGTACATCAAGCAGGTGAAAACGGACTGCGTGGCGCTGCAGGGCATGCCGCGCAAGTTCCGAGACAACCTGGAGCGGCTCGTCCACAACACGTACCCAGATGGCAAGCCCAAATTCCGCCAAGGAGACGACGAAGCCGCTGCGAGGCAAGCACGCGCCGCCCTGCACGCAGGCGGAGCCGCCAGCAAGGGCCGCCGGCTGGACGGACGTGGCCGACCCCGTGGCGCACTGCCTGGCCGGCCGGTCGCTCCTGCTGACCGGGCAGCCCGGCACACGCAAGACGCACCTGGCGCGGATCATCGTGACCAAGCTGCGGGAGCGCGGCGAGGTAGTGCACCTCATCAGCAAGACCCACAGCGCCGTGCAGAACCTGGGCGCCGGCGCGAAGACGGCCGACCACTGGGTGCGCAAGTACGTGCGGGGGGCCAGCGCCTGCACTGGCTGCTGGTGGAAGAGGTCACGCAGCTCGACATGGGTTTGCGGGTGGACATCGCGCGCGTGTCCCTGAACCACGACGTGCGGTTTCTGCTGGTGGGCGACTTCCGGCAGCTCCCGGCCGTGCTGGACACCTGGGCCGGCACGCCCGTCGACAAGCCACTGCGACACAGCCAGCTGATGCTGGACCTTGCGGGCGGCTGGCGGCACGAGCTGACGGAGAACAAGCGCAGCGACGCGCGCATCTTCGACCTCATGCGGAGCCTACGCGTGGACCAAATGCCCCTGCAGGAAGCTTTGCAGACGGCGCGACGGCTCTTTCCGCGCAAGCCAGGCTCACGATCAGCCATGCCCAGCAGATGGCGATCCGCGTGCCCAAGATGCCCCTGAGTGGCGTCAGCACCCGTTCGGGCGACCTGGCTCGGTTCACCTTGAAAGGGACTTGACGGCACCCCGCTCCGATGAGCCTCAGCCCCGGCCACACGCGCATGGGTTGCGACTTGTTTTGTTCCGCGGTGTCCGGGCCTTCCTCTGGCTCCACGAGCTGCGCGTCCGCCGGGGCCAGCCGGCGGTTCGGCAATGAAGCTGTGGCGCAGGTAGCCCACACAGCCGATGTCGATGTTGCACCGTGTCGTCGTACGTCCCCGCAAGGACTGAGAGGAAGTGGAAGTGCTCCGAGGCTCCCTTCATGGGGTTGCGCGGGTGCAGGCTGCCCAGCTGCATCTCCCGTCCTCCTGCCTCGCTGCGCCGATGGGGGCCACGTCCCGGGTTGGCCAGCAAGTGGATCTTCGAGCCCGCGTCGTTGTCCCAGAAGGTCACGAACGTGCCCATCAGTTTCGTGAAGGCGCGTGCCACGGTGACGTTGTGCTCCGCCACGCCCGTCGGGACGCTGGACTGCTGCTGAGAGGAGCACCCGGTTGAAGGACTCGACCAGCGCCGAGTCTAAAACAACCTGGGAAACCAGAACTCGGACGTTCTGGATCTCGAAGTCGGTGCTTGCGGGGCTTGCGGGGCTGCCGGACGTGCTGCTGCCGGCGCGCGGCGTGAAGTGCTGAGGCTGCGTGGCGTCGTTCATTCCGTTGGCGGGCCGGACGTCCTGCCTGCGTCCTCACTGCCCTGCTGAGGCCGGAAGAGCGTGTTCTCCAGCACCCAGCCCGTGCCCCAAACAAAACCATAGGCTGCGCCGCCCGCAAGCCCCACGGCCAGTCCCGCCGTTGCCGCTGCGCCAACTCCAGCTGCGCCAGCCAACCTCGCCCGCCGTGGGTGCGAGGGCTGCTGCTCCCTCGGCCAGGCCTCCCAGGTACCCGAAGGCAACATCAACCTCTCCCTCCTCCGCAGCCACGGCTGCCGTCTCCTCGACGGCCTGCGCTGCGCCCCGCTCCACCTCCTGCGCACGCTGCCCCGCCTCGTCCAGGAGGCGCTCGACGTCGTCGGGTCGACCTATGATCTGCGGAGACAGCTGCGGCTGCGCCGCGCGAAGCAGCACATTCAGGCGCACGTACTCAGCTGCGTCCTGGGGGACCGAGAAGTTCCTCTCCGGCGCCCTTGACAGGGAGGACGACGTTGGCTTGCGAGCGGCC